GTAAGGAGAAGAAGGGGTGGGGAGTCTATGCTATGCTAAGGGGAAGGGGAGGGGTTGGGGAGCCTATGAAATGCTAAGGGGAAGGGAGCCTATGCTATGGGCACTTACAAGGTAAGGAGAAGGAGAAGGGGAGCCTATGCTATGGGCACCTACAAGGTAAGGGGAAGGGGAGGAGAGCCTATGGTATGGGAACCTACAAGGTAAGGAGAAGGTGTGGGGAGCCTATGCTATGCTAAGGGGAAGGGAGCTATGGGCACTACAAGGTAAGGGGAAGGGGAGGGAGCCTATGTTATGGGCACCTACAAGGTAAGGGGAAGGGGAAGGGTTGGGGAGTCTATGCTATGCTAAGGGGAAGGGAGCCTATACTATGGGCACTTACAAGGTAAGGTAAAAGCCACATTGACACATAAAGTAAGGGGAGTCTGTACTGTGCCTGCATTTAAGGTAAGGGGAAGGGAGGGGGGAGGTTTAATGGGAAGGGGTGACTCTGGTGGACCCTTTGCTATGGGCACCTATAGGGCAGAGGGAAGGGTAAAGGGAAGGGGAATGGTTTTCTAAGGTAAAAGGTAGAAGGTAAAAGGTAGAAGGTAAGAAGGTAGAAGGTAAGAAGGTATGGAAGGGAAGGGGAAGAAGGGAGGGGGTGACTATGCTACAGGCACCTAGAAGGTTAAGGGAGAAGAGGGAGGTATAGCTTCCTTTTGTAGCTATTTCATTTATTTCTTTGATGATTGACTTTCGTCGAAAAAGTCATGACAGGTTGACTGAAAATTATCGGAAAAGACCTTTACCTGACTATCTATATATATGACATTATTTCGTTCACAGAATCCGAAATTAAATCAATTATGTCTTCATTCTGCTCTTTTATGACTTCACGTGATTTTATATGATTCTTTTGGGAGGAATGAAAGTTTTATATTTCGTGGCATTTCCGTTTCAATTAGACTGTTGGGATTTTTTTTTTTTTTGGATTTATCTTCATCACATTTTTATGAAGAACTTCCAGGAATTATTGAGTTAATCAAAAGAGAGAGAAAAAAAATAGATAGGTAAATTGATAGAGACACAAATTGATAGAGACACAAATAGATGGATAGAGAGAGAGAGAGAGAGAGAGAGAGAAATAAATAGAGAAAGGGATAGATAGCTAGATAGAGAGAGATAGAGAGATAGATAGATAGATAGACAGATAGAGAGATAGATAAATAGATAGACAGATAGATAGACAGATAGAGAGATAGATAGATAGACGGATGCATACAGAGAGACAGACAGATAAATAGATATAAACAGATAGACAAATAGATAGGCAGATAGATACAGATCGGCAGATAAATAGATATAAACAGATAAACAAATAGACAGACAGACACACAGACAGACAGATAAAGTGACAGATAGACAGCCAGACAGATAGATACAGAGAGACAGTGATAAATGGATATAAACAGATAGCCAGACAGACAGATAAAGTGACAGATAGACAGCCAGACAGATAGATACAGAGAGACAGACAGAGAAATTGATATAAACAGATAGACAGACAGACAGACAAACTGACAGACAGATAAAGAGACAGATAAACAGATCGACAAACAGACAGACAGAGAGACAAACAGACAGACACAAAACAGACAGACAGACAAACAGACGGACAGACAGACAAACAGACAGCCAGCCAGCCAGCCAGCCACCACACAACAAACAGACAGACAGATAGTTAGATAGCCAGAAACACAGGCACACTCCCCTCATAAATAGGAACCAGACAAACAAACAAACAGACAGACAGACAGAAAGTTAGATAGCTAGAAACACAGGAACTCCCCCCCCCTCATAAATAGGAAGCCAAGATTATTATTCGTGCAGTCCAGCCACAGGCGCTCGAAGGGACACTAATTACGAAACAGGATTTATGAAGGATGATCCATCGCCGAGGTCCTGGGTGGTTCGCCTCCCTTCTCTCGGGCCGGCGGTCCGGGGCTCCTGTTGGGTGTTGGGTGTGTCTGTGGTTCTTTCTGGTTCTGTCTGTCTATGTTTTTGTCTGTCTGTCTGGTTTTGTCTATGTCTCTGTCTCTGTTTCTCTCTTTCTTTCTCTCTCTGTTTACTGTGTGTGTGTCTGTCGTTCTGTCTGTTTATGTTTTTGTCTCTCTGTCTGGTTTTTCTCTCTTTCTCTCTCTGTCTTTCTGTTTTCTCTCTCTGTCTCTCTGCTCGCTCTTTCTTTCTCTCTCCGTCCGTCTGTTTGTCTGTCTCTTCTTTTTTTTCTTTCTTTTTTTCTCTCTATCTGGTCTCAGTCTGTCTGTCTGGTCTTCTCTCTTCTTTCCTCTCTCTCTCTCTCTCTCCTTTCTCTATAAAAACTCCACTCTCCTCTCTCCGTCCTTGTCTGTCTCCCTCTTTCCCTCGTTCTCTCTCCTCTCTCTCTCCTTCTGTCGAGCTTCTCAGCCAGACGATACTTCCGCCTTCCTGACAGAGCGAAGCAACCAGTGTTGGCCAAAACACTCGACCTCAAGTCAGCTCTCTCAGTTTTATGTCCTGTATCGTATATATATTTTTATAGTTTGTGTGTGTGTGTGTGTGTGTGTGTGTGTGTGTGTGTGTGTGTGTGTGTGTGTGTGTGTGTGTGTGTGTGTGTGGTGTGTGTGTGTGTGTGTGTGTGTGTGTGTGTGTGTGTGTATGTGTGTGTGTGTGAGTGTATAAGGGAAAAAAAGAATGAAAGAAAGGTAGAAAAACAGAGCAATGAACAAAGGCAAAGGAAAGGAGAGAGAGAGAAAACATAAAATAATTTCTTAAATAAAAATCGATCATCGATACCCAATTAATGTATAATCATTAATATATAATCAATATCATATTATTATTCAATTAGTAAATGGAAAAAATATATAATATATCAAGAACGTACTATTCATTGCTTCGAATTGGTGAAGAAAAAATAGAGAAAAGAGAAAGAAAAAAAAAACTTTTCTGCAATCGTATTAATAACAAACACAATTCCCCCCTTTTTTCTCTTTCCTTCTCTTCTATTTTTCTTTTTCTCCCTCTCCCCAAAAAAGTTTAATTCTCCAGCCTCTCCCATTTCCGAGAATGTGATAAATCCAGCTTTTGTATGTATGCAGCCAAGTTTTGTTTTGTTGACAAAGGGACCGATTTCCCTTATTTGTTTTGGAAGTAATGTTGACAGTGGCCGCAGGTGGCGCGGGGGAAGCATGGCGAGAGAGGAATTTTCAGCGGGGTTGGGGTTCCTCTTTGGCTTTGGGTTGTGGCTGGCTTGTTAGAGGTTGTTAGAGGTTGTTGTTGGTGGTTTGGCTGTTAGATATCGTTGTCGCTGTCAAATGTCGTTGCTTTATTTGTTTTGGAAGTAATGTTGACAGTGGCCGCAGGTGGCGCGGGGGAAGCATGGCGAGAGAGGAATTTTCAGCGGGGTTGGGGTTCCTCTTTGGCTTTGGGTTGTGGCTGGCTTGTTAGAGGTTGTTAGAGGTTGTTGTTGGTGGTTGGTGGTTTGGCTGTTAGATATCGTTGTCGCTGTCAAATGTCGTTGCTTTATTTGTTTTGGAAGTAATGTTGACAGTGGCCGCAGGTGGCGCGGGGGAAGCATGGCGAGAGAGGAATTTTCAGCGGGGTTGGGGTTCCTCTTTGGCTTTGGGTTGTGGCTGGCTTGTTAGAGGTTGTTAGAGGTTGTTGTTGGTGGTTGGTGGTTTGGCTGTTAGATATCGTTGTCGCTGTCAAATGTCGTTGCTTTATTTGTTTGGAAGTAATGTTGACAGTGGCCGCAGGTGGCGCGGGGGAAGCATGGCGAGAGAGGAATTTTCAGCGGGGTTGGGGTTCCTCTTTGGCTTTGGGTTGTGGCTGGCTTGTTAGAGGTTGTTAGAGGTTGTTGTTGGTGGTTGGTGGTTTGGCTGTTAGATATCGTTGTCGCTGTCAAATGTCGTTGCTTTATTTGTTTTGGAAGTAATGTTGACAGTGGCCGCAGGTGGCGCGGGGGAAGCATGGCGAGAGAGGAATTTTCAGCGGGGTTGGGGTTCCTCTTTGGCTTTGGGTTGTGGCTGGCTTGTTAGAGGTTGTTAGAGGTTGTTGTTGTGGTTGGTGGTTTGGCTGTTAGATATCGTTGTCGCTGTCAAATGTCGTTGCTTTATTTGTTTTGGAAGTAATGTTGACAGTGGCCGCAGGTGGCGCGGGGGAAGCATGGCGAGAGAGGAATTTTCAGCGGGGTTGGGGTTCCTCTTTGGCTTTGGGTTGTGGCTGGCTTGTTAGAGGTTGTTAGAGGTTGTTGTTGGTGGTTGGTGGTTTGGCTGTTAGATATCGTTGTCGCTGTCAAATGTCGTTGCTTTATTTGTTTTGGAAGTAATGTTGACAGTGGCCGCAGGTGGCGCGGGGGAAGCATGGCGAGAGAGGAATTTTCAGCGGGGTTGGGGTTCCTCTTTGGCTTTGGGGTTGTGGCTGGCTTGTTAGAGGTTGTTAGAGGTTGTTGTGGTGGTTGGTGGTTTGGCTGTTAGATATCGTTGTCGCTGTCAAATGTCGTTGCTTTATTTGTTTTGGAAGTAATGTTGACAGTGGCCGCAGGTGGCGCGGGGGAAGCATGGCGAGAGAGGAACTTTCAGCGGGGTTGGGGTCCCTCTTTGGCTCGGGTTGTGGCTGGCTTGTTAGAGGTTGTTGGAGGTTGTTGGTGTTGGGGTTTGGCTGTTAGATGTCGTTGTCGCTGTCAAATGTCGTTGCTTTATTTGATTTGGAAGTAATGTTGACAGTGGCCGCAGGTGGCGCGGGGAAAGCATGGCGAGAGAGGAATTTTCAGCGGGGTTGGGGTCCCTCTGTGGCTCGGTGTGGCTGGCTTGTTAGAGTTGTTAGAGGTTGTTGGTGGTGGTTTGGCTGTTAGATGTCTTTGTCGCTGTAAAATGTCGTTGGTGTCTTTGTCTTGATGTTGACAGTGGCCGCAGGTGGGCGGGGGAAGCATGGCGAGAGAGGAATTTTCAGAGGGGTTGGGGTCCCTCTGTGGCTCTGGGTTG